AAGCACTTTACCCTGTGTAAAAACTATTCATCTCCACTTTATGGATTCGTATGTGAGCAGGAAGAAGAAAAAGAGCAAACATACAACATTTTTCCAATACACTTCATCACCCACGTCAAGAACGAAATACAGCCCAAAAGCTTTTGTGGGAATCTTTTAAAAATTGGAGTGCTACTGCCATAAGACTGGGGAAGGAGAAAACAGCTGAAGGAAGGTATAAGATGCCGTGCAAACAGTCCTAACTGTGTTGGGATCTACTCCAGCCTCTTTTTCAGATTGGAAGATAAATCTCCATAGCTAGCAAGGGTGGAAAACCTTACTTAGAGATCCCTTCCTCTCTCAGAAGGTCTTCACCTGGTTATTAGCATTGCAATGGGTAATTTGACATAAAAGGTGGAAGCTCTTTTATATATTACAACCTCTATAACAAAATCCTTGCTCCTATGTGGCTGTACTGTGCAGTATCTCCAAAACAAGGGACATGCTGCAAACTTGCACTTCTTGTCCTTTAACTGATAAACTTTAAAAAACAGCGGTGCATGTGCCTGCTTTAACATTGAAGGATGGATTGGGGGAATGTATTGACTTGTTTTCCAGTTCAGTGAAAACACTTTCCATGCAATCTGTAGATAACAGTGAGCAGAGTCAGGCAATGCTGCTTAACAAACCCACTTACTTTTAAGTGCACTTCACTGCAAATACCTTGTTCCTGAAAGAGTATATTGCTTACATAGATATATCATAATGCTTCAATTTTTGAAACTGTAAGGCAGATGAGCTACCTTCCTTGGGGACCATTTTGTAAAATTATGTGCACTAGCTACAATTTGGTCCATTCACTGTCAAAAAATAAAAGCATTTCTAAAGGTATATCTGTGAGCCCTAGGGATGAGTCGTCTCTGGCAGCAAGGATTAAGTGTTCAGATATGACAGAGAAATCACCTCCTTCTTTCTCCTGCTCCTGAGTGTGGGGCTCCAACTCCAGTGCACCATGTGCTAGGCAGCACAGCAACAACACATGAAAAGCAGAATCATCCAGAGCATCCAGGCCTTAGGTACCCAAAGAAATCTTTGAAGGCTGTTAGGCCTCATACCTTGTCCACGCTATTGTGGCCTTGGAGAGCCACTGCAAAAATCCTAATAACAACCTTTGAGGAGGTGGCTAACCCTTCTGAATGGTCTTTCAATGCAAATACTAAAATATATTTGAAACATCCTCCTCCAGAGGGGCCAAGTTAGAGGTCTGAGTCTCCAAGGCAGAGCTTGTACCACTTAATGCCAAAACACTGCCTGCCCACCCTCTTAAAAAGTCTGCTGCTGCAAATCTCGCTGCCAGAGATGGTGATCCCAGGCCCCTCCTTTACCAGCCTGACCACACTCCCATTCCAGCAGCAGGAGCCTGTCAGGAGAAATGCTGTACTGTGCCACAAAGAGCTGCGCATGCAGCTCACCCCAGGGAAGGACTATGAGACAGGACCAGACCCTTCCTCACCCTGCTCCTCCTCCCCCTAGAAAGGCAGGAATGTCCTCCTTCCATAGAGCTTAGTACTAGTGAGGGGCAATGCTCAATGGCCAGTAGGCCATGAGTGATTTGGGAAGTCTTCTGTTGAGAGCTTCAAACAGAAGAGCATCTATTTTAGTCATCTATCTTTCATGGAGTCTTTGTATGGTCATGCACTGAGGGAGCTGAGTGTGACTTTTCACACATGTCCCATTTAGTTGTTCTGCAGTGGGGGAAGAGCACTGTTCTGCCCTGTCCCATGCCTTGGGTGGCTTTTAGATGATCACAACATTCTGAGGACCTGGAATATTGTTTCTTGTCGGTTACCTGTGAAGGTCTATCTATGCCTCAAGCCTAACTGAACGATGGCAAGGATAGTTTGATTTGGACCATAATGTCCAAATGGTCCAAACGTTCATTTGGACCGTTTAGTCTCTTGCCAGGGATAAAATGCATCATTTGATCATATCACATTAGATGACACATGAAACCATCATTTCCCATAAGTAAGGAGGATGTAAGGAACTCTCTTCTCACATTCCTTAGCTTTCAATAGCCTCTGCTGTCACTTGGTGCTGTTAAACTCTTCTGACTCTGGACCATGTTTGCAGACACTTCCCATTGAAGATGGTATCAGTGCCCTAGGTCCCAGACCCAAAAAGATGATGGAGAGATACCATGCGTCCTGTCAATATACCCTAGAATCTTTGAAGGGAAAAATATAAGTGTGTCCCACTCTTTGAAGGCATTTAAGTAGGACATATCCACGGGAAAAAGTGCTGTATAGAAAGGCTATATAGACTGCCCTGTATAGACTACAAGGCATGGACTGGCCTTGAAAGCATAATGCAGATAACTAATACCCCGGAAGCCAGCCCTTGGCCTATATCCCACTTCCCACTTGCCCTTTTAAGCTACAAGGTTACGGCCTGAGGTAGGCAGCATTTATTATGTAGGGTCTTGCAGGATCACTGGGTGCATGCGGTACAGACCAGTCTCGGGGACAGCAATGGTAGAAGAGCCTTGCTGAAGATGCCAGCCAAGGGTACGGGCTGTTCTGTTTTACAAGCTTTTAATTTATTTATTTACTTTTTTGGTTACTATAGACAATTTTTGCATTTGTTCCACTGTTCTTCATTGCACTGTTCCACACATGAGGTGTGACAGCATCTCATGCTGGTCTGTCTTGCAGTCAGCTTCTCAGGAGTGCCTGAGAAATGACCAAGCTGGTCACTCCGCACACCTCCACGCCTCCCCTTCCTCTGAAACACACCTAACATGGTTCCTGTACATGGCACATCACATACTGCTGACTCAGCAAGTGGATGCTGCCTGCACAGATGATCCTTGCGGGAGAAAGTCTGTGACCAAGCAACTTTGCCACAGTTCTGTCTCCAGCGGTCTAAACCTCTGTAACACTCATAAGCCCATATGCAGTTTCAAAGAAAGGGTGTCAGAGTTGCCAGCTACAATTCATCTTTCCAGCAACGCTATTGAGTGTGACAGCAAACACCCATCTTCAGCTAAGCCTATTTTGAAAAATTACTCGAAGGCAAGCTGTTGAAATACAGATAGGCTGTTTCAAATAGCAGCAGTGAGGCGAGTGCCTGTGCTGAGTTGCCCACGGTTCGGATACAAGGTCACACAGTAGGACAAATGAAAACAATTCAGCATATGCTTTATAATGGGACAATTTTAATAACAAAATCCCTTATTCCCATCTCTTATTCATAGGGATTCAGCCAACCCAGAACCTAACCTTTTCCCTCCGGACAACGTGATGTGTGCTACATATAGGAAGTTAACTTTTTTGGTCCTCTCTTAAGGAAATACCATATTAAGCAAAAGCAAGGGGAAGATAGAAGCCAGCATCACTTCTCCCCCCAGCGCTATCTTGCAAAACAGTGTCTGGTTCCAACCAGTCAGCAAAGAGCGAGCTTACTCCAAACCCCACAAACTTCCCACAGAAAAGGGGCAGGAGTGGTTCAAACTAAGGAATGATACAGTAAGATTTGATATGGAGCTCCTATGCCAGAGACGTGAGCTTGTATGCCATGTTAGTAGGTGGGAAGGATGAGGCATTACTGTCAAAAAGCATAGCTACAGGAAGGATGTCAAGAACAGGGGTATCAACATAGCTCTTCTCTTGTGTTTTACACAGAATGACTACAGTTCCAGCTCCAGTGTTTTTTGCAGTGGCTCAACAACTTCAAAAGACCACGAACAATAACAATGAAGTGATTCATATTTATCATTTTAGCCATCTAATGTTGGTTTTCAGCATACGAAATGCCACTAGATAGATTGTGTGTCAGATTTTGGAGGATCACTTCCAATATCCCTGATCAGCAGATATCCATTATTCACTTATTTATTGAGCACTCAGCATGTAACATATGGTCAAATCACTCAATTAACTGCTAGAAAAAACAAGCCCCTCTGGCCAGGCTTCTGTATGAAGTATTGCAAACATGTATAAATAAGTGCTATACCTTATCATGTTTGTAGTAGCATTCTTGTTTACACTTGAGATAGACAGATTTATGTTTTAGGCAGCTTATTAAAGCCATCAGCCTAAAAGCATCCTCAAGTGGAAGATTTATCAAAAAGTATTACTATTTTTGTTTATTTAATTATAAGAATTGCATAAACTACTTATAACTTTTTATAATAACCATCAGTTCATCTACCATATCTTCAGATCAGAATCCAAGAACTTCTCCCTGCTATATCTATATAAAAAGTCTCTTTGAAAGACTTGGCCATTGAGCTTAAGACTTAAGACTCGGCCATTCTGCTCAAGTCTGTCAACTCACGTTGACATTGCCTTTCAATTTTTCATAGAATTTTCAGAATTCCAAGAGATCTCATCAGAATGCTTCTAAGTGAAGCATTCATGAGCAGATGATCTCTAAGAAGTTATCAGTGCATAAAAGTTTAAGTGAATTGCACCTTTAACCTCTTTCAAAAGCTAATTCTACTTCAGGGCCCAGCTATATGAGGCTGCATACCAATTCTGTAAAATTTAGGAATGAAAGGAGTACTCCAGAAGAACTGTGAAAATTCAAGTACAAAAAAAACGCTTGGGAAATTCATGAGCTTTTAGAATAACCACGTCAGTTGGTCCATATAGACAAGATGCACATCATCTACTCTCCTCCCTTCTCCATCTCTGTTAAAGAGAGAAAAACTTCCACTGCAGTCCCACATTCTTTTTTCTCCCAGCAGAAGACTGTCCAGAAATTGTTATATTTCTCCACTCCCAAAGAATATGCATACGAATCATTTATATTTGTGACTGAACAACTACATAACTACAGTACGTGACTTCTGAAATAACTTCTCAATATGGGCATTCAAAAGTGTTCTGATTAACAATATTCTGTCAAATGAGTTTTTAATTAAGGCTTAATTAATTATTGATGCTTAAATACAGATGATCATAGGAAAAATGTTCTGTATTAATAATTATATGATACCGTCAAAAAACAGCCATATCTGTTTCCATTGTGCAGTTTATTCACATTAGAAAAAAGTTACTAAGTATTTCACAATTCACATGCATGAACTCAAACACTTCAGCCCAAAAAGTATTGATTTCTTCTCAGTCTTGTATTAAGGCTTTCAGGAATTTCACCTAGGCAAACAACTATCTAGATTTTAAAAAAAGAAGCAAAATAGACAGACCATAATTCACTTAAGTTTTATTTCTGTTAACAAATATGATCAAAGTGAGTCCTGGTAGTGTGTAGTTGCATTCTTTATCTTTTCAGTAGTGTATGGCTGATAGGAGTCAAAGTGATTGGGAAAGAAAAGTTATCTTCAGCAAAAGTTTTCTTCAACACTGTCTTGATTTGGAGTGCTGAATAAGCCATTGTAATGTTATGTCTGCCAAGATAGATACAACAAAATGAAAAGCTGATCAGCTTATTTGCAGAGTGTAAAGGGACAACAGAACACCAGCAGGTCAACACAATTGAAAAGAAAAAAAAAAAAAAAAAAAGCAAAACCAGAAACCACAGTTTTTCATTCACACTTATTAAAAATTCATTGTTTAAGATATCATTTTTTGTTGTTTTTGGTTTTGTTTGGTTTTAAATTATGTGCATTTTGTATTCCTGAAATATGATGACTGACGTTCTCTAAACCACAGAGAGCTGAAGAAGGAAAGATTTAAGATGACCGTAAAAAAAGAACTTTAAAATTCAAACTAGAATGAAATTAAGTGTGAAAACAAAGGTGGGAATACACAATCAGAAGTGAAGAGAAGGACAAGCATCTGACGAAGCATTAAGAAGTCATTTAGGTAGAATGTAGGAGCCCAAGATCTCTAAAAGATATGCAACACTAAACTAAAATTTAACAGCTGAACTCATTACCTCTCCTGATACAACCTGATGTGTTGGGCTAAAAACAGCAGCAGTTTAGCCTGATTCATGAGCAGATAAGATGTTTTTGCCTCAGGGCACTAACATCTTCAGGGATGTAGGAAAGATGTCAGGAGGCAGCAACAACTTTAGCCTTCAAATCTAAATTTGCTGCCACACGTCTGTCCCAAGTTCAAGGCAGTTCCCTAGGAATTTACTACCAGATCAGCTTAGGCACTGAGATTTCAGATAAAAGCATCTCATGCCACCTAAAGCAGAGCTAATAACCATAAACTAATCTTTCTCAGACAGTCTCTCCAGACGCACAAACCTGGCAGCCTTACACCTTCATCTCCTGATGAGTCCAATTAGCTTGCAGTTTGCACTAAAGAACGACTATCTCATATTATTGCATTGACATCTATCAAAAATTCAGAGGAAAAGCTCCCACCCTTCTCCTTAAAAGTCTAGGAATTTCCTCACTTTAATAAGCTGAATACGTTTAGTTTTTCATTAGAAAATATATTTTCCAGTCCTTTGATCTTCCTAGATTCTTGCCTGAGCTCTATTTTTTCAAGGTCTTCCTTGAAATACGGCACCAGGAATGAACACAGTACTCCAGTAACGCTCAAGACAGCACCAAATAACTTGAGACATAAGCAGTTTGCACCCATTTGCCGTTTCCTTGTGCAAGGAAATTCAGGAACCAGGTTAGCCCTTTTAGGTATAAGTGTTGCACTGGAAGAAACCTGACATTATCAACTAGGACTGGCTTCCCTCCCACTTCCCTTCTCACTGTCTCCCATTCAGCTGAGTTCTACACAGCTGACTAGCTCTTACAGTGAGTCTGGTTTCTTCAGGAAGAGGCTAAAAACAAGTATCATCAGGCTGTAATCTTCCCATCTAGCACCACGTGGCTCAGCAGTGTATGGGAAAAAGGGTGGGAGAGAGGCAGCATGCCCCCAGCCTACTGCTGGTGCAGGCTGGGCCTCAGGCTGACTCAGGAGCCCCGGCCATGACGGCCCTCCGTCCCTATGTCCTGAGCAGCTCAAAGCCAGCACTGCATTCTTAACTTGGTAGCCAGAAAAGGGAGGGGGAAAATGTGAAAGAGGAAAGGGACAGAAAAGCAAAGAAAAGATGAGAGGGAGGGAG